GATTCCTCTTAAAATAAGCATTAGACACAATGAATTATGAAGTCTGCAACTCAAGCAAGCCTATGTCTAGATCATGCAAGAATTGGTATTTTATTCCTGTTAGGATTAGAACTTCAATATGTCTATTGTGATCCCTAACCCTCAAGCCCTTATAAGAGTGATCAATTCATACAATTCACACAAGGATATAGAAAATCATACAAGGTAAAACACAAATAACTAAAATAATTTATTAAAGAAACCAAATTAAATCACAACTAGGATTCATATCAGATCCATGATCCTAACTACAAAAGGTAATTAGTTAGACATAACTGTCTTAAACAAAATAAAGAAAGAAGAATAAATCATAAAGAAGAAGAAAAATAAGAATCATTGTTGCTCAATCTCTTTCTCTAGTATCCGGTGTCCTCCTCCTTCCTCTCAATTTGCTTGCCTCTGTCAAATTGTCTTTGTGTTTTCAAGAGTTGTCTTTTTATAGGGATGAAACCATATCTTTTAATTTTTCATAATATCTTTAATATAATCTTCACTAGAATCTCTTATCACGTCTTTAATCAAATCCTTCAAATCCTTTTTTTTATTTAATGAAAAATTTTCCTTAAAAATATTCAAAGGAAGATTTGATAAGATCTTCAATGATTCAGAAATCCAAAGTAACTTTACTTGATATCTCTAATTTATCTCTTTATTGAACTGAAATTTACTACAAAATATAAAAAAATTTATGAGAATAAAATAACAATTTAATTATAATTCACATAACTCTTAATTACTTTTAAATCAATTTCATTATTATATTAACCCTTAATACAATAAATTGCAGCCTCATCAATGATTGTTAGTTATATCCGAAGAACTGCAAACTTGCGAAATAATAAGCCAAATAGAGATGGACTAAGATAAAACGACGGCATCATTGACCACACATAACAATAAATATATAGTTGATAACATATGAGCTATCGACTCCATTGTTTTATACGACTTCCTTTGATCACAACCACAAGTATGCGTAACTGCATTTATATGTGAATTTAGTTACCCTTATCTAAACTGTCTTTTTTTTTTTTCAACGTAGAAAAAATCATATGCAATACAGAGTAATGACTCTTGATTCCCAATTTTCAAGAGGTATGTATATAAGATAATAAAAAGCAATCAAGCAAGAATCCGTGGGTTTTGTGACGCTTCAAAGTCGAACTATATCGTAGTTGATGAAAAGTGAAAAAGTGAGCTTCGTGGGCCATTTCCTTGGGTTGGAACTTGGAACGTCATTGGACATATGAGTGTGAGAAGAAGATAAATGTTAAAAAAACTAATCAAATCTAAAGTGACTTATTTGTTCGAGAATCTCGATTTTTCAAAAATATGATTTTTGCGTTCAGTTTACGATAATATCTGAAAATTTAAAATTTAAAAAAATTCAGTTTCCGAGAAATATCTCAAAATCCTGTGTACCAACCGTCTCCAAACAGTCATATATTATATTAAAATTAAATTTAAATTCAAAACAATAAGTTGATTTTATTTCTTCAAAACAGTTCAAATTAATTTGCAAAAACTCCTATTTTCTATTTGCAAATTCTTCATATAATAACAGATGTGTGACAGATATAATAATATCCGTCACCTTGAATTCGTAAAAAAAAAACCCATTGCTCGATTATTATCCTCTGAGATGTTTGTAAAAAAATAATTTATACATACATAAATTTTCAAATAATAGTAATGGCACCTCTAAATTTTATGAAAATAATAAAGGAGTGTGAAGATTCATTTTTAAAAATGGAAAAAAGAGGTTGTGAGCTACATGACATGTGTCACTGGGACAGCAACCCCCCGCCCCCCAATTCTTTTTTTAACATGAATATATTCTTTTGTGATCATGATATTCTACAATAAATTTCTGTTTACATCTTTGTTTTATCTGAAAAAAACTATATTTTCATTAAACTGAGTACGAAATTTTATCATTGAATAAAGTAAGATATTTTAAACTAATACTGCACTGTAAAAATTTCAATTTTTTAAAAGATATACAAATTGTTCAATCTTTTATATATAATATTAAGGATAGGTTATTCTACCTACTCACATCTTGCCTACCTTTTGCCTACCTCTTTCATTACCGTTGGATTACATTCTAATCCAACGGTTCATATTTACGCAATAAAATAATTTTTTTTCCCTTTCTTTCTCCTCACTTTCTCCCACATCCTTTCTCTCTCCTCCCCCTTTCTCTCTTCCTCTACCCTATACCTAATTTTTTTCCCTTTATCTCTGATCTCTGCCGAGGTGAACGCACGCGGAAGCATTATGCGAAGCAGTTATGGATTTACAGGGAGAAAAAAGATTGAATCAAGTTAAGTGGATGCTACAAGGTTTGCCTTAATATAGAATGCGATTATTGTTACTTTCAGGGAGGAAGATATCATCAGTGATATAGAACATCAACTCTGCCGCCAAATTGCTGGAATATTAGGGTTATTCAATGGCCATGTTCCCTTCTCTGCAATGAGCTACAAATTGTTGCAAACCTCATATATTATTCGATGAATCGCATAATGCTTAAATTAAAATATTGTGGTCGATGAATCGCATAATATTGTGGTGCTGTGGTTCAATGCAATTAAAATAAAAAGAAGTTCCAATAAAAATAAACCTGATAGAAAGGGGGAGGAGATAAAGGAAAAAAAATTAGGCATAGAGTAGAGAGGAAGAGAGAAATGGGGAGGAGAGAGAAAGGGTGTGGGAGGAAGTGAGAAGAAAGAATGAGAAAAAAAGGTTATTTTATTGTGTAAATATGAACCGTTGGATTAGAATGTAATCCAACGGTAATGAAAGAGGTAGGCAAAAGGTAGGCAAGATGTGAGTAGGTAGAATAACCTATCCTATTATACATACATATACGGATATACTCGTTATTTTATAATTTTAGAACTTTTATTATCGAATTATATCTTGTCTTTTAATTTATATTCTGGATTATTGTTTTATTCTGTTAAGTATTTAAACCTGGGGTGATGCTTACTGTGTACACGCAAGAATCATTTTTCTCATGTGCCTAGTGCCACTATTTCCACAATGAACAAAGAGGTTGTGCTTCGAGTTATCATAATTACCCGCAATGCACACTTAAAAGTATCTAGGAACTAGGAAGTCATAGATTTGCTTATGCAAACATACGATTTTTCAGGTAGCACTGGCAAGTACCATGCAACCAAAGCCTAAGAGTTGTACAAGGTTCTGTAGTGTTATCTATTAATCGGTAATAACAACAATAAATTCTTCAAGGATGTAGGATCCTCCTACCAAAATTTGTCGTCATTACTTGCTTTGCTCACATCACCATTTAATCTCCTCTGTCTCTGTGTCTGGCCACCCTCAAGAAAGGACACTGCTAGAAGGGATAGAACAGTGTTTCACTTTCTCTCCCCCTCACATTTCATTTGCCTTTGTGCGTTTAGTTGTTGCATTCCGAAGGGAAAGCTTGGTACTTTTATTACTCCTTTTACTCTTCTTTCTCATCACATTAGCTTCTTGTTTTAAAATAGCTAAAAAGCAAAGTGCTTTCTCTGAAAATGTTTCTGAGGCAACCTGCCATGAACAGGAGTTTGAACAGAGAGAATCCAGATATTTTAGATTATGATTATTGCAGGGAAACAGATAATCAGATATCAGAGAGAGAGGGGGGAAAGATGGGCCCGGTAAGGCCTGCAACAGAAATTAGTGGAACTGCACCAAAGAGTAATGTGTTTCCCTTTCCCCCCCTTCTCCTCCTATTTTCTCCTTTGTGGCTCTTTTGCCTTCTTTACTCTCAGTTAATGGCTCTTTTTTCATTCATCTTGAATATATAGCCACCCTTTTTTGTTCTTCTTTTTCCCTTGGCCTTTAAAAAAACACTTTCTTCCTTTTATTGGCTTTCTTGAGGTTGTTGTCTTTGATTAGCAAGATCAGATAATATTTTGAGTGTTCTAGTTTTAGGGGTTGACAGGGGAGATGGGGTCTAAGAAAATGAAAGTTGTTTGTTGGGTTTGGGATACTTGAAGGAAAAAAAAATGTTTCTGTTCATGCAAAAGAATCAACACACCTTTGATGTTGGTTTTTTGTTTGGCATGGTTTAAGCAAAGAATAGAATGCCTGACTTCTGGTTGGCTTCTTTTTCTTGCTTTCAAACAAATAGCCCAGTCATTTACCATTGCGCTTCTGCTTATTTTTCATTTTTCATTTTTCTTTTTGTAGGTTATTGGAGGACAACATATCTTGGCAAGGAGTTGTTAAGTATTTGGAAGATATCTGGCTTGTTGATTTAAGTCCCATGTAGTGTGGCTCCACTTGTTTTGGTGGGTGATAGACAACTCCTTTGCAGATTAAGGGAAGGTTGGTCTTGGTACTTTTCTTTAATTCATTTGTCAGTTAGTTAATATTTTATAACTAGTCTAAAAGAACTCTATATTCATTTTTTTTATTTTTCTTCTCTCAGTATATCATCTACTTTGAATTTGAAAGGATGCTCAATTAATTCACATGCTGCATAATGATCTATTCATTGATCCTTTCTCCTTCCAATTTTGTTTTCTTTTCTTGTTTGTAGCGTGGATGTTTCTTCTGATGTAGATCTATTTTTTTTTCTCTCTCTCTTCAAAGAAAGGGGATAACTAGATTCTATTGGCCCCGATTATCCTGAATTCAAACAGAGTGAGAAGTGAAGTTTTTCTGAAAGACCACTGCAGTTACTACTTATGTCGATGGAGGGTGATATATACATTGCTCCACTGGACATTTCTGGCCGAGATTCTACTGTGATAGATGACATTTCACAACATTCCACCTCAAATCCACTCATTCAGTGCTATTCACTTGACCTTAATAACCACCAATCCCAAATCATAAATGGAATTTCAATGCTTGTTGGAGAGCAAAGTGAACCTATAAGTAATGTCCATGCCAATGCTTGTTTCATAAATCCCGCAAATATTGCTGACTCTAGTTCATTAGTTACATCACATCGAAAGACTATTGTGGGAGATGCCTCAAACCTAATGGAGAACACTGAGTTTCAAGAGCATTTAGCTGGAGGAATGCCAATTACTCCTGCTTCACTTGCTGCCATTCTTGCTGCTAGAATTGGTCTTGAAGAAAATTTAGATAATTCAGCAGCTTTGCCTCCTCCACTCTGTACTTCAATGGGGGCAGTGGGGCCACATATCTTCAATAATTGGCTAGGTACTTCAAACCCTTTGTCTACAACTCTTGAGGACCATGGTTACAATGAAGTACCTGGTAATAGTAAATGGAATGTTAACAAGTTTCCTAAAGCCACAGAGATTGATGGAGTAGGGTGCCAGCCTTATTCATCCATTGGAAACCTGGATCCAGATGGATGGACATCATCAAATGTTGCAAACATGACCAATCATTCTTATCATTCCTCTAACTTTAGTAATGAACTCTCTTTAAGTCTTGTAACATCTACAACCACAGGACAATGCTCAGATGTCAGTTGCTCTGATGTGGCCCAATGCATGAATGGAACTATGTCATGCTTGGAGCAAGCCTCCTGCAGCAGTAGTAGGGAACTTTCTATGAGTTTGGGTTGTAATAAATTTGTACAGTTCTCACCAGAAGTATTCGGGTCGAAATATCTTGCTGGAATTCAAGAGATACTTTCTCAAATTGCAAGATATTCATTTGAGAATCTAGAACAGATAAATTGTTCAGCTGCTGGTAATAGAGCAGATGGAAACAAATCAACTTCAGCTCTTCCACCCAAGAGAAGGGTATTGATAAATCACAATGCAAATTCTATGTTTGAAGCACATGCAGAATCTCCATTGCAAAGGCATGCAGCGGAATCAAAGAAGTCCGAACTACTGACACTTCTACAACTGGTATGATGCTACATCTTCAATTACCTGATTTGATCTTCGTTTCAGTTATGGTCCTGGACATAGTGAGACATTTAATGATATGAGCTTTGCATTTCACTTTTCCACATTAGAAATGGTAAATAAATTGCTCAAACTAGTTCAGAATAATGGTCTGAAATGAAAAACAAAAAAAAGTGAGAAGTTTAACAGCAGTACATGAGAAAGCATTCATCCGAAAGTTTTGTCATACTAATAGTAATCTTCATTTTACTCAGGTTGATAATCAATACAGCCAGTGTTTGGATGAGATACATACTGTTGTATCCGCATTCCATGCTGTTACAGAGCTGGACCCACAAATACATGCACATTTTTCTCTTCAAAAGATCTCTATCCTGTACAAGGACTTGAGAGAGAGGATTAGCAATCATATTATTGCCATGGGATCAAATTTCAACAACTCGTGCTCACAAGAAAAGGAATGGTCTGTTGTTGAAACTTCATTTCTTCAAAAGCAATGGGCTTTCCAGCAGTTGAAAAGAAAAGATCATCAGTTATGGAGGCCCCAAAGAGGCTTGCCAGAAAGATCTGTCTCAGTTCTAAGGGCTTGGATGTTTCAGAATTTCCTCCATCCGTGAGTTTCAAGCATACCATCTTTCTTTCTTGGGCTGGCTTTAGTCATCAGAATTTACATATTTAGTGAATTTGAAAATTTTATTTTATTTTAAATATATATATAATTTCATGGATTTTCAGGTATCCTAAAGATGCAGAGAAGCATTTACTTGCAGTAAAAAGTGGGTTGACGAGAAGCCAGGTACTACCTACTGCTCTTATTACATCCTTGCTAGTTTGTTTGTTACTTTGAAGAGGAACAATCTGATATGCTCGGTCGTATTTATGTCTGGGGGACCAGGTATCCAATTGGTTTATAAATGCTCGTGTTCGGCTGTGGAAACCTATGATTGAGGAAATGTATACTGAAATGAATAAAAGAAGGGCTTGTCGAAATGGAGAAGGAATGGAGAGCTGCCACGACAACAGGATAAACATGAGCAATTAAAGGTTTAATGTCAATTGAAGGTGGACAAAGTCGCATAACAATAAGATGGAGCATTTTATTTTTTTTCGATCAAGTAGAAAATACAGCACAACTGAAACTAGACTCTGTGCATAATGATCTGCATAGTTGGGTATTATATATGAGAATGTCCTGTCAATGACTCGTACTGAACAATATAATTTATCAGTAAATAACACCAAATTTATTTGATGTCCATAATACCTTGTTTGTTTTAGCTTGATGTCAAATTCTTCATAGCTCTGCGCTTTAGAGATATTAGAGTTAAGGGCAGGTTTTGCTAAAACTGCCGGTTAAATCATTTATGAAAAGAACAGATCAATACAAGTGCTAATGGTTATGGAGTGTCGTCAAATAAAAGAGATAAAACTCTCTCAGAAAATAAATCCAACATGGCAAACAGATGGCTGAAGCTGTCTAACTAGAAAGATCCAAGGTGTAAAGTAACAGGGTGACAACGTCGTTCGTGCCCAATTGAACTCCATTGCAAACTCAACCAACTAAATTCCAAAAATGCTTCATTGTTTTCCTGAAGCACTTGACAACAAATGAACTATACATTCTAACAGCGCTAAACATACGAAATTACTTGAGAGAATGAGATTGCACAGTAATGGCATTATTCCCTCCATGTTCGCTTTTCAGTTTTATCAAGAACTTCCATTGATTTATTTATTTATTTATCCAAAAACAATAATTTCGAAGCTTTACCGACTATTCAGACTAAAATCTATGATTACAAATGAAAGAATGACTATATCTGCTTTGAACTTAACTCTTCCCGTTTCTTTCCTCTGTTGATTTCTTCTTTCGTCGTCTCCATATCTACAAGGATGTGGCATCCCCTCCTCCATCAGATTTCCAACTAAACACAGACTTATACACTTGTTCAACAGAAAGAGCAGCAAATGGCCAACTCTTATTCATCAACTTCTACATTTCCACAGAAACCCTTGTTTTAATTGGTTTCAATTTCAAACCCATACTCTCAGGTGAATAGAGCTCGGGAGAAATGCAAGATGGACTCAAGGGACTTCTTGGGCTGACACTTAGCTTGGATGGTCTATACAAGCCATATCCCATGAGAAAGTACTCCATTGGTATTAACATAGCATGAGGCTGCTCCTCTGTTATCATTGACCCACAAGCTTGAACCTGTAGTTCCAGCCAACGATTGATAAATCTAGCTCACTTTGATTGATATACACATTCTTATCACAAATTAATATGAACCGGAACTATCTTATTCTTACCCACCTCCACCAAGGCACTGAATCGTCTATCTAACTTAGAAGTCATATGGACAGCATCAGAATGAAAAGGAGACATATCCCCAACAAAAATAAGTGAGCGACACTGTAATTTTCTCAACCCTTCACTTAGGTCAGATCTCCTGCAAAATGCTAATACAAAGTTAAAAGACATATATAAGACATAAGCACATTGCTGTTTTAGAATACGTTGAACTACAGCATCAGCATATCCATTTGTGCATGAAAAGTGGTAACTGTTCAGCAATGGGTACGATTATGTATAACTAAATTCTGATGTGTTGCTAATTTTTTTTGGGGCACAATGACAGCATGGAGGTCTGAACCTATGACTTCATCAAATTTACCCAGATCCTTCACCACTACTCTAGCAATAATAAATATCGTGCAGCGAAAAATTCCACTCACAACCCACTATTTTAAAGTGTGATCTTACCCGTTAATAGCTTCAAGGAATCGCCACACATTCAAACTCTGCCTCTCATCCAATGACTGTCAGAAAAACATTTACAACAGACTCAGAAAGGTGCTCAGTTTCAAACTACCCGCTCCCAGTTATAACCCAGTCCCCACATGAAAATGTAAAATAAATTGAATTAACCCTTTGGCATGCTTGAACTATATCCGACTCTGGCAAATGACCACTGCCTCGAACTTCCTATCACCACCAATAAAATTGAATGACACAACCTCAGATTCTGAAAGAAGTAGACAAAGGAATTCTTTTGGAAGCATAGGCATACCTTGCAAAAGTATCGCTTTAGCAATACTTCTTTTACCACTCCACACATGCCATAAAAGTATAGTAAATTTGACATGACCTGCAAATAGGTCAAAATCTTCAGCAAAACGTGAGATATATTATCACAAGGAGACATAGTCTTTTAGGTTCGGAAAAAGAACCTTGTTGTACAACCATTCAGTCCAAGATGGTGCTTTACATAGAGGAGATACAAGTATCAAACCAAGAACACGTTCTCTATACTTCATCTGTTGTCAAAAGTTAAAAGGATCTTCCATTATTGAAACTCAGAGGTCAGAGCCATTTAAGAACGGGATAAAGGAGAAGAGACATATATGAGGACTCACAGCAAATAAGGTGAGAATGTAAGCCCCAGCAGTTACTCCCATACACATGACTGCACTAAGACTGCAAAAAGAGAGAGAGATTGCCATCCCAAGATCAAGGAAAGGACATATCAGCTTCTAGCCTCAGTTGAACAGGTTATAAACCCATTACTTTCAACCAGAAGAAACTTTCAGTTGCAAATATTGTAAATTAAAAAACAAAACATGCCAATAGTCCAATACTGTAAATTAAAGCTAAATGGAAATTAGTCTATCATTATTTTCTTGATGTAACTTTGGGCTGTGAAAAATAACCGAACTGTATTTTCTGAACTAGTTTTGAGAATCAAATTGGTTTTATAAAGCAGTTTAAAAATTGAACCGAAGCATACAAACCAGTTCAAAACCTGTTTGCATATCCGAATCAGTTATAAATTATGAATTGGTTTTGAAACATGAACTGATTCTGAACCGATTCAAGAAAAATAAAACTGGTTTGGATTAAATAAAATAGTTCGTCTCTTTGACCCAAACCGGTTTAAACCCATTCAGTTCAAGAAAAATACCGGTTTGGGTCGAACCTCCCCACCCCTAGTAACTAGCTTGTTTTGATGAGGAGGATGGAATGCGAAAGGATAAAGGAAGGGAAAAATTCCCCATATTTGAGAGTTTAAAAATTTATGAAAAGGAAGGGAATGTGAGGGCAACTATTCCTCCTCAAACTCTCACTATTTCACCCCTATAAACTTGGTTACGTGAAAAAAGTTTATACAGGTTTTATTGAAATTTTAGACTTACAAACTTTTACCTTCTCATTTTTTCCCTTGTTAGTTAATCATCCAAAAAGGTGGAAGGAAACCGTTTTCCATTCCATCCCTTCCCTAACTCTAAAACTTCATATTATGGCCTAAATGGAAAGAGATTGGTGATTAAGCTAGAATATGCTCACCTAAAAAAGTTAAGAACTTCAGCTATTTGATCAGCTAAGTCATCAACCGAAAGAATTGGGTCATCTGGATCAATTGCAGCAGCTCCCAACTGCAATAGCTCTTGAAGAAAGTACAAAATGATTAGGAACCAGATAAATTATAACATCAATGAAAATATTTACGAATGTGGAGAGATAAGTAATTAAGTATCAAGTAACGCCATATTACAGCTTCAAAACATAAAGCTAGAGACCTCGTGCCCAGGGGGACTAATATGATAAATGCAGAAATTGTGAAGCAGCAGTGAATAGACTTCCGGACAAAATAATAAGCCCTGAAAGCAGGAGACATCTGATGAAACCACGCGCATGAAAACAAATAGTTAGGTTGTTATTTTGTCAACAAAATAAACAATGTCAACACAAACATCATTTTTAATTTTAATGTTCTCTGCATAAAACCTTTTAAGATAAAATAACTGAACCATAATTGCATTACCCACGGCTACCAGCAAATGAAAACTCTGGTATTGAATCTACTTAAATGTGCTGATAGAGCATTTTGAACCTAATGATTAAAATAAATCTATACATGCGAAGTATTTTATAGGAAAATAAAATAAAATGCAACGCTTTGAGCGGGGGGACAGATGACATCACGGGGTATATATAAGAAAAAGGTAAAATCCATTTAACTTACAATTTAAAGCCAAATCAGGATAAGTGATAAGTGCTGGCTTGTCCTGGTCTCCATACACAGCAACAGAGACAGAACCATGCCGAGTTCTTATAAGATGTTCCTGCGGAGACATCTCAGTAGCATGTGAATCAGGAAAAGCACGTGAAGTTAGCCAGAACAGACAACAAAATCACATATGAATACAATAAACCATCTTCTTTATGTCAACGAATAAACAAAATGTGTAAAATCAAGATGTTTAATTCAACGACAAGCGAGCATTCAGCTTGGACAACAGAAGCATGTAAATACTTTGGCCCAAAGAAGCAATCGATAACATAAAGGTGCAAATCTTTCAAGGCAGATATTGCATGACAAGAGTTACCATTAATAATAATAATAATAATAATAATAATAATAATAAATGAACTAATGTACACCTGCCAGAATATTAATAGTGATGGAAAGTAAGAGAAAAAAAAGTTCAAAACCAAATCACATTTGTTTAATCCATGGAAAGCATGTTAACATAAACATAATGTCTTCACTAATTAGAGAACTTTTAGGCATTTAGAAGTGTATAATTAATAACAAAAAGATAACTGGCAAATTTCCAATTGGAGTGGGCGCAAAAAGACAAGTCAGGTCCACACTAAAACACAAACTTAAGAAAGAGTATAATCCGATTCCTACATTACTGAATTCAGAAATATTCTCAAGCAACACAGCATACTGGATTCAAGAGACTTAATCTTGAACAAACGATGTCGTTTATAAATGCATGAGAGAGAGAGAGAATGAAAGAGAGTAGTAGTATAGTACCTTGGGCGGAGGAGAGATGGTTTCCATGTCCACGGACACTGAATCCGTCATTTCTCTCTCCATTGCGTTAACGTTCACATTCCATTGCTTCTTGTTTTATAGTGAGTAGTGTAGTAGTATCGTGAATTTTCTGTATCGAGTCCGTGCTTAACTCGCACGAGTCACCGACGCTCAACCCCGGAAGTCTCGCCACACTGGCGCTCCGCATTCACACTTGTAATTGTAAGTAACCTCACACTCTGGTTCAATTAACCATGGTTGGGGTAGGCCGACAATTTCCTCTTCTCATTTTTCCCCCTCCCTTTTTAATTTTTTTTTTAAATTGGAACTGCTACTATTATCCTGAACAAAGAAAGACCCGCTGCTTTTAAATATAAAAAAAAAAAAAAAAAAATTCTTTCTTGTTTCAAACGGCATAACACTCTGCATTCTTGGGGAGGGGACTGAACCTTTAGCCATCACTGTTCCCCCGCACTCCGGATTAGTCTCATAGCCGGCTCAAAGAGTCGAAGCTCGTGGGGATACCGGAGGGAGCCAACTCGTCTCAAAGAGATAATTAGGGTTGGATAACTCCAAAAAAAAAAATAATAATAATTATTTAAATTTTAAATTAAAAAATCACTACTTTTTCTCTCTCATGAATTTTATTTTCTGTGTCTATCTCTCTCTTAAAATGACATAACTTATATCATTTAAAATGACAAACACTAAACCCAAAAAAAAAGACCCGCTGATTTTAATTTTAAGGGTTTGGTGTTTGTCATTTAAAATGACATAAGTTATGTTTTTTTAGGAGTGAGATAGACACAGAAAAATAAAAATCATGGGAGAGAAAGTGGATGGTTTTTTTTAATTTAAAATTCAAATTTTTTGTGTCTGTATCTCTTTTAAAATAAAATAATTTTCTGTCATTTAAAATAACAAACACTTTTTCCTAATTTTAAATGTGATTTCAAAATATATATATATATATATATATATATATATATATATATATATATATATATATATATTGTGCGAATATCATAAATTCAAATAAAATTTTAAAAATATAAATTTGAAAATGATTTTAAAAATTGTAATTATAAAATATATCTATAATTAATTTTAAGTTTAATAGAAATATAAAATAAAAACTACTAAAAATATGTATAATTAACTTTAAAATTTTAAAAATAAAAATAACAAGTTTCATACTTTAAGAAGGAAAAGATTAAAAGATTGATATAGTTTTAAAATACGATATTCTTTATCATATAAGATTCGAACAATTGTTTTTTTAAATTATTTTTATTGTGATTAATTTTTCATTTTTCAATAAACATTAATTTTTGATTTTTGATTATTTTTCGAAATTAATTAAAATATAAATTATAAATAACTAAAATTTTAAGAAAATAATAAAATAATAGTAATAATGAAGTTGATAAAATGTAATAAAAAAACTATCTCACGTTAAAAAATACTCAATTTTATCATATAAAGACAAAAAAAATCCCTTCACTAGATGCATTTAATTTATTTTTTAATTTCATTCTTAATCAATATAGTTGTATTAGTAACTATAAGAATATTATTTTATTAAGAGCTTACAAATGAATTAACAATATAAATTTTATTTTTATAAAAAAAAATATAAATTTTTTTATTTGAATATTTTAAAATTCATAAAAGTAATAAACAAAATAAAAAATTGTAATTTTATATTTTCATTGAAGAGCAATTTTTACGGCAGGAAATATAAAAATGTGCATTAAAATAATGAAAAGTCAAGTTGGATCGCTAAAAATCAGCATGGTGCCAATCTCAGAGCAAGCAATACAGATTGCATTTATCAATAAACTTTTACTTGTGAGAGGCGGGAACATTTATTAAAACCCAATCCCGATATAGTACATCATGGTTTTTATTTTATTTTTTAAAGGTTTATGATTCAGGTTTTAGGTATGATTCATTTTAATTAAAATTAAATAAATTAAGTATTACCACAATTCCAGAAAGTTCAATTTCAAATTATTAATTGGTGTGGTCATGGGTCGGGATAGTAAAAAATTGTGGTTCAAACTAATAAAACGAGTTCAAGTTGATTTTTGAATTTTTTGTTACTTCACCTGAATTTTGAATCAACACAATCAAATTTGTTCGAGTAGGGTCATTGAGTCGCATATGTATTTTAACATTTTTTAAAAAGGAAAAGTTCACCAATGTCCCTGTGATTTGTTTCAGAATCACTTATGCTCCTGTGATTTATTTTTATCACATATGTCCCTGTGATTTGCAAAAGGATATATTTTTTATCACATATATCCTTCTGATTTTTTATTTTTTACAAAGCACAGGAGTCTATGTGATACAAAAAAATCACAGGGACATAGGTGATTCTGAAGCAAACCACAGGAGCATTGCTGAACTTTTCCCTTTTTAAAACATCTTAAAAAATAATGCAAGAAATCATGGTTGATGTTTGCTTATTGAAAGTTCACTTATAATGCCAAACACGTTAGATTTCTTTTTTAAGCTTTATGATTGGAATCCTGTAAAATTTCTTTGAGAGGGCGTTTGATACAAGAGATATTTTTATTTTACCGAAAAAAAAAATTCTAAGAATATAGTAGGAAAATATTTTGCCTAAGAAAATAACGAAAAGATATTATAGTGTAATCCAAAACATTGCCAGAAAAATTGAGTTACTTGGATTCATGTTAGGTTTGGCTGGTTGTAAAATATTTATGAGAATATGAATTGAATTTATCAAATTATCCATTATTTTTTAAAATATTGTATGTCAATCATGAAATAAGAGGGCATTTTGGTCCAGAAACATAAAAATCATAATCTAAATTCAAGGGGGAATACCATGTGTAAGAAGGAATTTCTTATATTTCTTAACATCAAACATGGTCAAAAAAATAAACCCAACCTCATTCCTATCATTCCCATCAAGAAGGTCATAACACCAAATATAAAAAAGAATTTTCAATCTATGCAGAGTGTTTAAACTCAACAAAACATATGGACATAGAAATTACGGTAACAAAACTGTTTTTTTAATGTGAATTTCTGATTTATTTGTTTTTAATGTTTTTGAAGTTTTGATTTTTGCATAATTTTGATATTGGATTTTTGGAGCCCCACCAAAAAAAATTCCTGGCTCCACCCGTATTTATTTGAGTGATAGATTAATTAGTCATATAAATGGGTCTCAAATGTGAAGGTAACCACCCACGGAAATATTTAATATGGTCCAGGATCACTAAATTTTTTATGCTCCCTCTCACATCATTAATTTTTTCTTTTCCCTTTTATCCTTGTTATTTTCTCTCTCTTCTAATTTTACATTCCTATTTACATTAAGGGACCACCTAAAAAGTGGTGGTCCCGGTTCACAATAAATAATCTCTCACCCCACATATTTCCACACTAAGATACCCCGACACGCACTTCTTTGGAAAATGTACGTGTCGGTATCCGACACGTTCTGACATGCGGTCAATATTTTAGGATATGCGGTCAACTCTTCGACATGTTCCGACGCATTTTTTTGATACACAGTCAACTCTTTTCGACACGCAATCAACGTTCTGACACGCATCTGACATGTTTTTTTACTCTTAATTTTATTTTACTAACTAAACATAAAAAAATAATTTATAAATCAATTTTTTTTTGTTATGAAATTTGACATTAAAAATTAACAAGATACGAAAAATTATTTTTATTTATATGAAATTTGAATATTTGATTGGTTATATGTTTTATTCTGGACTGTTACATATATTAAATATAAATTATATTATATATATTAAAAATATTATTTAATATCAAAACATGTCCAACGTGTCAAAATATGACATTTTTTAAAATTAACGCGTCGGCATATCGTGTCATGTCATATCCTGTGTCCTGTATTAGTGTCCGTGCGTCATAATTTCCACGACAGCTTTAATAAGCACCGTGCTACAATCTAAAAGAAGACTTATAACTCACAAAGCAATCAACCTGAAGATCATGAATTAAACCAAATTAATCGTGAATGATCGGCCCATAAATTCTTAATCTGGTCAATTTGATTTGTTTTTATTGTTAATTATTTTTATTTTTAACTAATAAATTTTTAGTTTATTTGATATAATTAAGTTGACAGAGTTATGAGACTTATAAATGTGGGGCCCATTGTGAACTTTTCACAAAGTTTTTTTTTTTTTTTTTTTAAATATTCACAAAGTTTTTACAGCATGCACATTAATTCTGCGTACATTTAGGGTCAGAATTCTATCCGGGAGGGTCGAAAAATCCGATACTAAAATAATGTAAAAATCAAAAAATTAAAAGCATAAAAAATAAATAAACCAGAAATTTATGTTACAAAAAATTATTTTGTTATCGTAATTTCTATGTCCATATGTCTTGTTGAGTTTGAGCACTTTATATAACTTGGAAATTCCTTTTTAAATTTTGGTGTCATAGAAAATTTTGCACGATTTCAACGGTAAAGCTTAAGGTTGTGTTTGGTTCGGATTTTCTACTTAGTATCCGAGCAAAGTGCATGTGAGTAACTTAGTTCTTCACGTTTGGTTGAGGGATAACCCAAAATTTAGCCATCAAACATGCTTCCCTAGCTATCGATGTTTTAGTGTAAATCAGGATGATTTTCACTGTTGAAGAAACCCTGTTCGACCATGGTATTATTCAATAATACCGGACAACTTGAAAAGGGAACGAAAAATTTGACAAAATTACCCCCTCATCTTATCCACATGTGAGGAAGAAAATCTCAGCCACATACCAAATCCAACTAGCTGTCTGACTTCGATTTGGTGAATGAAGGTATCAATGAGGTTATTGTTCCCTGAAGTTTCTCCAGATCTTGCAACCATGGTCCATGCCTCCGGTTGTTCCCTGAGGTTATTGTTGATATTAGTCCTTTGGCGTTTAACATTCCCATAAGCTGTTGAATCCTCACCACCACTTTTCTACATCACTGCCTTCAGTGCTTCTTGTATTGAACTTATACAACACTGTTCTCTGCTACTGCTACTTGAATCCTCATCCCCAGTGATGAAAAGCACGTTCTTAACACGCCCAGCAAGCGTTGTGATCTCGGCTTTGAATGTTTTTAACCTTAACG